TTAAAACATCTATTGTAAATCCGGATTAAAGCTTATGGCATAAGCCAATCAGAGAGAGAGCTGTATTAGCATCTTAAGAAATTACTTAAGATGGTCTTAAAATATGAACGGATTATGAATATACGCCCTTAGTCTTATTATATTTTATTATTTTTCTAAGGCATTTAAAACAGATTAAAAAATGTTCAACTTAAAAGAAAGTTAAAAAGTTAATGTTTAAAAGTTACTTAGTTAAGTTAAAATTTAATGCACTTATAATTAACTAAGTTAAGTTAAAAGTTATTAACTTTATAATTTTTTTTCAACTTTTAACGTTTTAACTAGTTACTACCCAACACTGCTAAATTGTCTTTATTTGTAAATGGTACATAATAAAAGTTTCATTTAAAACGCGTCATTTTTCATTTCTGACATCACGATTCAATATGGCTGTGATGACTATACTCAGGAGAGTCTTAAGATATAATAGAAATACAATAACTCTTTATTATATTCTTTTGCAATAAATAAAAACAGGCGAATCACTTGTGTGAGCAAAATTATTATTTAATTTAATTAAAATTCTTTATTTAATTAAATTAATTAACATGGATTTTAAAAGAACGAGAAGAAATAAAAAAATTGTTGAAGGAGCTACAGAATCGGTGTACCTTTTGTTATTTCTGTATTTTCATTAACTTACCGGTAAATCTTCCATTGTTGCTTATATTGCAACTTTTTTACACAGCGACGTTAAATTACAATATAGAGATAAATGTCACACGGAATCATGAATAAATGACAATGTAATAATTAATGCTTATTCTATTTCGAATAATTTCACGATGAATATGAAACAGGCGGTGACAATTTTTGTATTATATCGTTAAAATAATTACCACTAATGTTTATTAATGAAGATATCACGATATCGAAATATATCTGATTTCTTCCATTCATACGTATGTCTTGCACGTAGAATCTGGCTCAGACGTCACTCGCACAAGCCAGTTGCCGACATTCACGCAATTCTCGTACCGCTATCTATGAATTCGCAACAATATCTGGCGTGCTGTTGGTGCCCACGTTTCGAACGAGCCAAACTTGCAAGCCAGAAATAAACCACGCGCGGAGGTCGATAAGCGTTCTGCTACTTAAGCATAAAACCTTGACCGCTATTCCAGTTAAATACTGCGACAAATTTAATGGAATATTAATTCTTTCCACGAATTTGCAAAATGCAAGAAGTATATTTTACTTCTTATATTTTGGACTATTTAAAACGTCTTCGTTATTCACAATAATATAGAATAATTATTATAATTATCAATAGGTTTATTTGCGTTGCTTGTACTTTTTGCATTCAGTATCTTCGCTTTCTCTCTTTTCAATGTTCAAATACATATCTATCTCACCTTAATCAAAAATTATGGGGGATTTCAAGCAAGGCAAACAGACCTCTTAATATAGAATAATTAATTATTAATAATATCAATGTTACAATAATATTATAATAATATTATATAATTAATAATATCAATAATATAGATTAATTAATTAATTAATTATAAAATTAATAAATTAATTTTAAGGAGTAATTATAAAAAAGATAAAAATTACTCTGTTGTGCGTAAAGAAATTTAGTATCACTAGCCTTACAATTTATTGTTATGATGTACAACGCGACTTTAGGAAAATTCATATCGTATTAATATCGTACATTTAAAGAGAGAAATAAAAAACTAAATAATCTCTTTAGATGGAAAGGTTGTCTTCATCTAAATTTTTCATTTAATTTTGATAAAGCTTAAATTAAAAAAATGAGTATTTGCTTTCCCGGATCGAATATATGTAATTTCTTTCATTCCTTTTGCGGCTAAACTGGTAATGTGAGTCATCCTAAAGACTATAGAATAACATCGCCAGATATTAGCAATTCTCGTTATCGCGAATGCATAATGTTAATGACTGTTCGTTATATCGATCGTACATTCGTTCTTTGATCTTAATGTGGCAAAATAGGAAAGAAGGTCGCATGCTTTCCAGGTTCTAAGCCTTCGCGTTAGAATATGATGAATCGCAGTTTCGTTGAACAGGTCCTGAAATTCCACGGGCAATGATGAATTGTCGGTCGACCGCAATGCAGTGATAAACCTTAAATTATGTATATGGCTTATTAATGATCCCATTGTCTGTATTAGACATTTCGTCGTGCTCGATATTACCGTAGACTTGTCGAGTCGACGATAATGGTCAATGCAATAGCGTGAGACAATTAAACTAACATAATTCTATCGTTTGCAATCGAGAAGCTGTCGACAATTGTTACCATTCATTATCGCACCTTTGTCAAAACAGTACTAGCGCCTTTTAATCGAAGGCGACCGATAGCGGTAATTATCCATCCGATTGAATATTGGTTTACGTTTATTAACACAGATCGATGGGAGATACAAATTAATTTATCCTTATTTACATTATAAAATGCTACTTATGTACACAAATCTCGAGATCTGAATTTCAGCAGAAAACGTTTCTAAGCGAACATTCTTGACGATGGGAAGACATTGCTGATACGCGTGTTATCACAATAAAGCTGTTTCATTTGAAAATTTTCCATTCGGGACGCGCGAACTTCATTCGCATTCAACGCGCAGCCGGTCGCGTCATTTGAGATAACTCAAAAATTTGATTCGCATCTGCTATGTACATTGTATTACATACTATGCGTGTACGTGAGCAACGGTGACGAGTCGCAGCTGCAGCGACGCGATCAATTTATGTAAAATGCAGTTCTCGCATTGCCTCGAGTACATATTTATGCTCTATCTATTTCTCGTCTATTTCTCAATATGATTCCCACCTGCGGAATCGGAACGGTAACATCTGAAAATATTTATATATAGTTTCTCTTTTTCCTTTTTTCCTCGAAGGACGCATATTTCGTAAGGAACAAACAGGAGTTTCGAAACTTCACGCGTTTCTAAACTTATACAACATCGGTTTTCTTCTTCCTATTAAATACGAGTGTGGTAAAAATATACATAAGTATACGAATCGTAATAAAAAAGAATCGTAGCCTTGCGTTAACATTACATGACTGCGAGTAAGAGTCCCTATCAATTTACTCGAAATCCAAGTCAGATTTCAGACACATATAAGGTTCAGAATATAATAAAGAAAATCGAAAGGATTCGGTAGTCTTCAGAGAAATAGAATAGCCAATTAGAGTTGAAACTAATCTAATCCAATTAAATTCACAGTTAAATTTGTAATGTCAAATTATACTCAATTTAAGTTATATCCAATTTATTTCTATAGTTCGCCACTGCTCCTATCAAATATATCATTAATTTGACGAAAACAATTTAACTCAAGAAAACATATTAAATTTGACACTTAAATTTAGTTTATTACTAAATGCATACGTTAATAGGGAAGATGTTTACTTTGAAACCAACCACAAAAATGGATTGATTTACACTTTGACATACATAGAAGTTAAAATATTATTCAAGGATTGGTTTCTCTCCTTTGATATCTAACAGTGTTCTAATTGACGTTTCTACTTTTCTATTGTCGATACTTAAAATTAATTGCAACAATCCTCCCCTCCTCTAATTGAGTAAATTTAATAGAGCGAGCTAGAGTAATGCTTCATTTTGTCTTTTCCTCAATTTAAAACTGTCATTGATGATTGGATACAGACGTATGCATTATTTGATTTTGGTAGCTCTATCACACAATTCTGAAGGAAAGAACAACCGTAGAGAGAGAAAGAGAAAGAGAGAGAGAGAGGGAGAGGGGGGAAGGGGGGGAGGGAGAGACAGAGAGAGAAAGGAAATGTGTTAGTATGTCGAAAATCAGGGCCGTGTCTCTCAGAATATTCACTTGCTTTCCACTTCCGTGGCCACATTCACGCTCTTCCGCGATCTTATGCTCGATCTTTGTGCTTCCGTGGCCGTATTCACGCTCTTCCGCGATCTTATGCTCGATCTTTGTATCATGCTGCTCCTCAGGGTCTCGCCACGAATAGATGCTCTCATCGAACGCAAACTGCTGCGTTCGAACGTCCGGAAGACAGCCACCGTCGGCACTTCCACGTCTACAGGTTTTTTTCTAAAAAGAAAATACATAAATGCGACTTCTTCTCAAGAAACAATATGCTACTCTCTGCTAAAAAAAATTCCATTAAGCAGAAAAGTGAAATTATAAAGGAAATTTATTCAATTTGAAACAGACGTTTAAAAAGAATTAGGAAAGAAGAATTTTTTGAAGGATAATATACTCTCTAAATCTCGTGGAGTGAAATCTCACACGAAGAAACTGAAAATTTAGCCTGCCTTGAAAAAAAGACGTGATTATTTTGCTGAAAGTAAAATGCACCGGGTATCGTAAAAGTTTTGAAAAATACACACTGAGAAAAATTTCCAGACTTTATCCGTTCAAAATGTAACAAACGGATATTTCCGATAGATTTTGATCGCGTATTTAAGACTATCCGATAAAATTAAGAAAATTCTATAAATACGATCAAAATCTATCGGAAATATCCATTCGTTACATTTTGAACGAATAAAGTCTGGAAATTTTTCTCAGTGTAATGCGAAAGAATCATCTTCGACACATACTTCGAGAGACACGGCATATCCCATATCTTCTGATCTTTTCCGAAATCTTCGCCGTCTTGCAAGGTTTGTGGCAGGTCTTTATCGAGTGTCTCCGGTAGCAGGAGCGTCAGAAGACCGCCCAGAACGCCTATGACGCCCAGGACCAACAGTGGTAGAATGGACGAAACAGTGTCCAGGTAAACGACAAAAGGCGCAAGTATGCTCGCGACGTATCCCATTATGTGGATCAAGGCAACCCCTTGAGCCCTCACAACAGTTGGCAACACTTCGGCTGCATACTGAAGACCAATGTTATACGAGATGTTGACCCAGAATCTACCAACGATCGCCAGCGTGGCCGAATAAATATCTGAAATGGAAATCCGGAAGGAAAACTGCATATAGACTGCATAACGATCCTGATGAAGACTATATATGAATTAGTTGTAATTCCTCACAGTCTGTAATTTTAATCTTTTTAATTTCCAAAAATTTCTACAATTTTATTTTATATTTCATGAATTTTTTAAAACCCCAAGCAAACAATTTACATTTAAAAAACATTTAACCGAAACGTTTTTATACACTGTATTAAATAGACGTTATTAAATATACATTTATCAAATCGTCGAAATGTTTCGTATAAAAACGGTATTTTAAGTTAGCAAAAATCATTTAATATGCGTTACAATATATCTTACAATAACTTTTAAATTATTTAATAAATTCTTTCATTAAATAGATTAAAAACGTATCAAGTTTAAAATTTTTTCAGTTTATATGTTTAATACACGATTTCTAACGTTATTAAATGTATTTTAAATGTAAGTGTATTATTTGGAACATTACTGCCTCCGATAGGATTCTAGTTTACTAGGTAAAAAGAAATAATTCAGCAGCACACTCACTGTTTGAAACCGCGCTTGCCCAAATGCTGAAAATTCCGGAAATTACCATGGTACCACAAGCCAACCATCGTCTACCCCATCGATCGAGAACGAGAGTAAGGAATGTGTCGGCGGGTAGTTCGGTAAACGCCGCGATGGTAAATGTTACAAAGACGTCGAGCCCGAGATTATTCACGTTTCTTACGTGACCATCGAATACCAGCGATATCGCCATCCTGCATTACGGGACATAATCGATATATATATAGATAAGGAACAACCTTACCACATTCTTTATAGTCATTGAATAACGATTAGCATTTATTCGACGTTAGACACATTTTCTCTTACAAGCTATACAATACTGAAAGATCTGTTAAACGCTATTTATTAAATGTACGTTTTTCCAATTTAGCAGCCTTAAAACCCATTAAAATTAAAGAAACATTTTTATTATGTGAATAACTCACCAGATGATGATGAGGAGAATCGTAACATTTCGCAAACGTGGACTTTTAAATAGATCCACCACGGAATAAGTCTTATCCGCTTCTTGCTCTTTGCAGACCCTGGCGCAGGTTTCCTGTTACATCAACAAACAGTCATTATAATTTAACGTAAATTTTTCTTGTGATTTTTATCGTGATACCACTTTTTTTTTCTTTAAAATACAAGAGAAAATCAACGATCCTTACGCGGAACTGTTGATAGACGTTCTCGGGTACTTTCGTGCCGTTCATGCGTTCAAATTTACCCAGGATTCTAATGGCCTTCTCCACTTGGTTTTGACTGA